CACCAGTTCCTACTACATACCTAGGTATAGATACAGTGTGCTAAATCTCTCTTTTATTTACAATCAGTGTAATTTGTTTTGAAATATTACCACTAATAACCCATGGGATTTTCTCCTACTTTTCATGTGAGGTGAGAGAAGAGGAGTCAAGTATTTGATTTCCTCCTGATACATTTTTTTTATCCAAATCATGTGGGCCTTATTATTGTTCTATCATCCAAATTGAGTTTTTATTTGGCATAAAGAATAAAAATGAAAGGAAAGAAGAAATTGAGGTGAATTCTAAGACTGGAAGAATCAAGTAGGCTCTTGTGGGAAGGCCCAAATTAACAAGAAACAGGCTCCAGTGGAAAAGTACTGTTGCTGTGGCATTTGCCAGCAAACGACAACTCTGGGAAAGTTGATGATCCAAGAGAGTGTGGTGTTCAGGGACTACAGGAATGCTGTGGGTTTAGGTCACTATCAAGGGTCTGCAAGCTAAGATGGCAGGGACAGAGCACATATGGGAGCTTGGCAAATCCCTGTGAACATACACTGTTGGTGGGAATGCAAACTAGTATAGCCACTATGGAGAACAGTGTGGAGATTTCATAAAAAACTGGAAATAGAACTGCCATATGACCCAGCAATCCCACTTCTGGGATACACAACGAGGAAACCAGAGCTGAAAGAGACACATGCACCCCAATGTTCATCGCAGCCCTGTTTATAATAGCCAGGACATGGAAGCAACCTAGATGCCCATCAGCAGACGAATGGATATGGAAGCTGTGGTACATATACACCATGGAATATTACTCAGCCATTAAAAAGAATTCATTTGAATCAGTTCTAATGAGATGGATGAAACTGGAGCCCATTATACAGAGTGAAGTAAGCCAGAAAGATAAAGATCATTACAGTATACTAACACATATATATGGAATTTAGAAAGATGGTAACAATAACCCTATATGCAAAACAGAAAAAGAGACACAGATGTATAGAACAGACTTTTGGACTCTGTGGGAGAAGGCAAGGGTGGGATGTTTCGAGAGAACAGCATCGAAACATGTATATTATCTAGGGTGAAACAGATCACCAGCCCAGGGTGGATGCATGAGACAAGTGCTCAGGCCTGGTGCACTGGGAAGACCCAGAGGGATCGGGTAGAGAGGGAGGTGGGAGGGGGGATCGGGATGGGGAATACATGTAAAACCATGGCTGATTCATGTCAATGTATGACAAAAACCACTACAATATTGTAAAGTAACTAGCCTCCAACTAATAAAAATAAATGGAAAAAAAAACTGAAAAACAGTCACACTCTGCAGAAAGCCCAGGAGATGGGTGAGCAGCAGTGAGTGTCTTCTGCACCAGCAAGGACAGCAAGGGGAACCTCCATGGTCACTGAAGTTGCTCTCCGTGGTCGGGTTAGGAATGAAGAGGCACCGCGTGGCCCAGCCGCATCCCCGGTGCTGAGCAGGGCTCCCCAGGCATGGACCCCAGCCTGCCGGGGCCCAGGCCCTGGCTTTGTCCAGGCGAGCACTCCGGTTAGGGAAAAAAAAAAAAAAAGAACTTTAATAAACTTTACATTAATGAAAAAAAAAAATCCCTGTGAACAGCGCTGTTTCACCAGGTCTTGGTAACTTAACCTCAGCTTCAGTGATCACCCTCAAAGAATTCCTCTAGATAGTTATCAGTGGTTCTCACAGTGTGGTCCCCAGACTAGCAGCATTACCTAGGAACTCCTTAGAAAGGCAAATCCTTAGGCCCCATCCCAGGCCTACTGATTCATAAACTCTGGAAGCATAGGGCCCAGCAGTCTTCCAGTTCACAAGCCTTCCTGGCGATTCTTATGCTCCCTCAAGATGAGAAAGCCCCACAGTGGATCAATCTACCTAAGTACAACAACAGGTGATTAGGAAGAATTGGATCACTCTGTCTTGTTGTTTAGTCGCTTCAGTTGTGTCTGACTCTTTGTGACTCCATGGACTATAGCCCGCCAGGCTCTTCTGGCCATGGAAGTCTCTAGACAAGAGTACTGGAGTTGGTTGCCATTTCCTTCTCCAGGGGATCTTCCCAATCCAGTGATTGAACCCATGTCTCCTGCATTGGCAGGCAGATTCTTTACCACTGAGCCACCAGAATACTTCTTACATATAGATAACTACTCATAAAATAGGTACAGGATTCAGTTTTGCCAATTTATGAGAAATTATCTTGGCATTGGTCTCCGAAGTGTCTGTCTGATGAGAATAAGGTGATGACTTTGTGGGCCTTTTGCAAGCATACATTCTCTTTTCATTTCAAATCATCTAACCCTGACCATATAGAACATGTTTATCTTGTCTTCTTGAGCAGCTTATCTATTACTTGCCCATTTCTACTGCTGTCCAATCTGATTTATTGGCTGTTCTTTCCTGTTTACCTTGGAGGTTTGTCCAGGTACCTCACTTCTATGAAAATAAATTATATTTCTTCTTTTAAAAGCCTAGCTGATCTCTGCCTTGTACACATTTTCTAGAGCTTCTTTTTGCCTTCTGAATTTTCTAAAACTCTAGTTCTCTGGCACTCAAAGATCTATAGTCAGTTCTTAGAATGCAAAAATATGTCCTTTTAATACACAAAAATTTAGTAACAACTAAATTGTAGTTATTTAATATACACAAAATCCAAGCTTAGAATAATTTCTGTCTAAGGATAGATGGGAGAAGGTAATTCATTGCTATGATACATTGTATTGGCACCACCATGGATTTCCTGTTTTTTTCCTGTTAGTTATGGTGGGAGAGTACTTCAGGAATTTGGAGATTATGAGATGAAGAAAGACTGGGAGAGAGATTGGTTCAGAGCCAACAAGAGGAAACACACTGAGGCAGAACAACTATCCTGCTATCAATATTTGATAAACTAAATATAGAATTTACCAGAAAGAAGCCTTGGCTAGTACAGTGTTTTTGTCATACAGATTTGGGTAAAAATATTATTGATTTGATAATTGCACAATTTATAATAATGCTGTTTTTACTTTACCTTGAGTTATTTTTCCTAATTATATTCTTTAATGGGAAATTTCCCCTTTATTTTTGTAATGTTCACTAAGTGCTTCTTCTTTGGTCGATTGTTAACACAGGAGGCTCCATGTCATTTGCCACTAAATCTCTTTGTGTATCCAATCACTTTTATAGATCATCTAAGAAAACCTTTTCAGGTAACAAGAGACTACTCATAAATTTCAAATGTAAATTGTTTCCTCTTCTTCAAATTCAACTTGTATATTTTGGTCTATTGCATTCTTTCAGGCTTAGGAAACATAGTGAAAAGACAATTATTGAGGAGAAACTAAAAATGCATTTCAAAACTTGCTTTTATTCCCTAAAAATGGCTCGCAGTAAGACTGCAATATAAAGAACGCCAGGTGAAGCAAATTCTGAGAAAAGGATGAACTAATTGAAGGAGACACCAGAGCCGTCTGCAGTTCAGAGCTATCAATGCAGGTGGCATGCCAAAATGAGCTACATAAAGTGTCCTTTGCAGGGGGTGGGCCTGTATTGATTTCTCTCTGTCAATGATACTTCAGTTCGTGAGCAATTGGTGCATCTGTTTCATGCTCATTTATTTGCCATATGCAATGTTAGTTGTTCTTAAATAAATTTGCATTTATTTTGGAAAGACAGGTCTCACAGCTTAGTTTATGTTCATTGCACTTGCTACTGTCAATGAGAGAGGATGGTAAAATGTCCATAAAATAATTCTCTCCTTTCTTTCTTCTTAGTCTGTTTTTACAAATTAAATCAGGGTCTAGCACTGGGGATGTGGAAATGGGATTTCCCAAAGCCTAGGGTGACCTTAATGGATAAAATGAAAGAATAAACTGTCCTGATCTACTAATTTCACACATGCCACTTTGTTTATTCATTTTCTATCAACCAAAGAGCATGTGTAACCTTCCATAGCTCCTAGGAACTTTGGAAATATGAATGATATAAAAATACTTCATAAAACACATAAGCATTTAGTAAACAAGCATAGTGATTCTAAAGGATTTGTGCCATACTCAATTACTTTATTCTATTACTTAATGGGCTTTAAAATTAGCTTTAGAAGATAATTACTCAAATAGCTGAATGTTAATTGAATAACAGATGCTAAAAATATGTAAAAGCCAGTAAACTGCATATCAAGGTTTTTGTATCTGAATAATGAAAAGTATGTACAAATCATAGAAATAAAAAAATATTGCAAATTTATTCAAAGAATCGCAGCAATTCAGATTGGAAATCTTAACTATGTTCATCTTCTCAATTCACCATCTCCTCTTCAGTACTCTTGGCATGTGGTATTTCATTTGACTTCTATCAGAAATTAAGAGGAAATTCACTAACATATTTCCATATGTCAATCTCTGTTTTATCTTTTGAACCAACACTACTTTTTTTCCTTGATAGTTCTTCAAGAATGTTCAGGTAGCTCATAAGTGCCTCTGACTCCTTATTTATTCTAAAATAAATGAAAGTGTTTATTTTGCATCTTTTATTTCTCTCCATGCTTCTTGGGAACATTATTTGGATTATAATTTTCTACTTATATTTTTATGAACTCTTGTTCTTTTGCAGGCAGAGTTATAATCTTTTCATGTCTATACAAATGTGAAAATGCATGCAAAAGCAGATTGAACTACAGTGTTTTGTAAAGGCGAGGGTGGGATGTTCTGAGAGAATAGCATTGAAACAAGTATACTATCAAGGTGAAACAGATCACCAGCCCAGGTTGGATGTATGAGACAAGTGCTCAGGGCTGGTGCACTGGGAAGACCCAGAGGGATGGGATGGGGAGGGAGGCGGGAGGGGGGATCAGGATGGGGGACACATGTAAATCCATGGCTGATTCATGTCAATGTATGGCAAAAACCACTACAATATTGTAAAGTAATTAGCCTCCAACTAATAAAAATAAATGAAAAAAAATTTTTTTTAATGTAATCAAGGCTTAGTCTGTGTTCTTCCTTGTTTTAACAGGTTTTAAAAACTGATCTAGAAAAGAAAAAGCAAACCATGGACAAACTATGCTCACTCAACCAAGATCTTCTTTCAACACTGAAAAATACACTGGTTGCCCAAAAGATGGAAGCATGGTTGGACAACTTTGCCCAGCGCTGGGATAATTTAGTCCAAAAACTTGAAAAGAGTTCAGCACAGGTTAGTGATAATCATTAACCTACAATAAATTATCCTTGAGATTTTTGAAATCTGCAATGAAAGAGTGATACTGTAACCCTACAGAGGATGTCACTGGATTACTCCTTGCTAAGTATTTAATTGAATAATAAAATATGGCTCTCTTGGTCACCTTTGACACTGGAGAATGTGGGAGAGGTGGAGGAGTGAGTGCTGGTGGGCTGAACTAGTTATTGCTTTATAGGGTGGTGATAGTTCAGTCACTATGTTGTGTCTGACTCTTGGGACCCCATGAACTATAGCCCACCAGGCTCTTCTGTCCATGGGATTTCCCAGGCAAGAATACTGGATGAGTTGCCATTTCCTCTCCAGCCTGAGGATAATCCTTTCCAATTTAATGGGAATGAGGATGAGTGACTTATACAGTCAGACAAAATGCTAGGAAACTGTCATCACACTGTAACTCCAAATCATAGATCCCTGAAATAATGAGGGCCATTAATTGACCTCTGCATTTTACACATGAGAAAATTAAGTTTAGGGAGGAAAAGTGAACTCTCCAGGGAAAGTCACTGAAAAGCGCGGGACTGGGGTCCAGGATCTTTGATTTCACCAAAGATATCTTTCAGTTAGTACAAGTGAGGTTATAATCAGTGGATTTTCTGCCATAAACTGTTGACTCCTAAAACCATGCAACTTAACTATACTAACACATATAGGCTGTATATTAGGAAAACATCTATGTTATACTTGTAGTGTCATGTGGTTTTTTGTTAAGAATTGTAAAAGTTTTGGTAATATATTTTTTTAATGGAGTATTTTTTAAACTTGAAACTCTGATATGGTTAGATGGTGGAATCATGGGCAATCATTCAAAGATTAACATTATGTTCAGTAGTGTTTAATACATTCTGCCATTTTGTATTGTGTTATAGAGGCTAACTTTTACTAATTGGTCCCAGTTCATAGCTCAATGCACTGTGTACATACCCTTGTTGAAACCATATTCAATAGCTTTAGGCTTATATCGGCTCTCTTGTGAGACAGTGCAGGGAATTTTGTTTTTTGAGACTTGGCATCTGATTAGCGGCATTTAGGAAATGTTTGTTGAAAGATGAAAAAATGAAATTTGAAACATTGCTTCCAAAATACATGATTTAAATGATCAGCCAACATACATAATTTTCCATCACAGTTCCATCTTTCTTTTCAAATCAAATTCATATTTAAAACTTGAAGAAGTATCAATTGCAGTAATTTCTCATACAGTCATTGGGCAATAATAAAAAATTTCATTGACTGTATTTGGGGCTGTTAGTGGATATACTGGAGAAGGAAATGGCAACCCACTCTAGTGTTCTTGCCTGGAGAATCCCAGGGACGGGGGAGCCTGGTGGGCTGCCGTCTGTGGGGTCGCACAGAGTTGGACACGACTGAAGTGACTTAGCAGCAGCAGCAGTGGATATACTGGAGAAGGCAATGGCAACCCACTCCAGTACTCTTGCCTGGAAAATCCCATGGATGGAAGAGCCTGGTAGACTGCAGTCCATGAGGTCACAAAGAGTCGGATACAACTGAGCTACTTCACTTTTCATTTTCATGCATTGGAGAAGGAAATGGCAACCCACTCCAGTGCTCTTGCCTGGAGAATCCCAAGGATGGAGGAGCCTGGTAGGCTGCCATCTATGGGGTCCCACAGAGTCAGACACAACTGAAGCAACTTAGCAGCAGCAGCAGATATACTAGTGATTTTACCACCAGATCATGATTCTTCTTATATGTAATCTGGCCTTGGCTACTTTGCATGACCATTGACATTTATGTAACAAATATATCATACATTAGAAAGTGTTAACTTTTTAAACCATCAGTGATATCATTACAATATATGCCCATCAGTTACATAGGTTATTGGTGCTGTAAAATGATCGGTTACCATATTAAGAAAGACTGGCATTATTTGAAAAAGATATTTTGAAATGTATCTCTTTAAAGGGATATATTCATGGAAGTGTAACTGTTAACAACAGGCTGCACTCTGGTCCATTTTCACTATTGGCAGTGGTTTTCCAAACTTGAGTCTGCCTGATAGTTACCTGGGAAACTGATTCAAATGCATGGTCCTAGATTCTGTGCTCAGAAAATCCCATTCAGTAGGCTTATAATCTACACACAGCCTTAGATAAAGTCTGCCAAACATATTTTTGAAAACATTGAATTGGTGAGACAATGACATATGCGCCAGTCCCTACATCCTGGTGTTCCTCCATACCGCCTGAGATGGGAAGAAGAGAGACCTTCCTGGCAGTGTAATATTTAAATATACTCATTCCGTGAAATGATACTTGTGCATGTCATCAAAATCTTACTGGTTTGATTATTTTAGTTGGTTAATTAAAAAAAAACCTTAGAAGCCTGATTTTTTATTGGCTTAAAAGTTATGAGACTTTGACCCTGGGCAACTTACTTAACCTCCTATTTTTGGATTTTTAAAAATCTTTGATAAAATAGTACTAGCTTTGATTTGTTTAATTCTCTATAAATTGATTTCCAACATATATCTGCTCCACTTGCTCCCTGGGATTTGATGAGGATAAAATGAAGCCATAGACATGAAAACATTTTGAGGGAAAAAAAAAAGATTCTCTTGATATGCAAGGCACACTGTTTAGTGAGTCTGGATGGATTGTTATAGTTCACTGTGATTTTTTTTTAAAGATGCTTTAGACCATTTTTGAACTCTGTACTGAATGTTACAATATTGCTTCTATTGTCTATGTTCTGCTTTTATGTCCATGAGGCATGTGGGATCTTAGCTCTTCAACCAGGGAGTAAACCCTCACCCCTGCATTGGAAGGCAAAGTCCTAACCATTGCACTACCATGAAAATCCCAAGTCCACTATGATTTTTTTAAACATTTTCTGTTTAACAGTTTTACACTCCTATACCAGACCAGAAGCAAGTAAACAACATTATATTAGCAATTTGCTTCCTCAGTCACTAAACTTGAGCCTTTCTTAAGCTCATGTCTCAGTTTTCACTCTTCAGTTTTTCCCCAAAATGCACCATCAGAAACCCAATCCAAATCATTGCCAGGGGTGTGGGACTTTTAACAAAATAAAAAGGAAGCTACCCCGGGAAATAGAAATTAAAAGGAGATAGAGTAAGAAAAGAAATAGTATCTCATAACTAAAAACAAAAATTGATTTTTCTTACGTGTCAGATTGAATTTGATCAAAATGGCATAAGAAGTCCAAGAATGTTGAGAGTATGGTTTTGACTTTAAAGAACAGAGCTCACTTGTATGCATGCATTCCAGCATGTTTGTCGGGGGAAAAATAGTCCCATTAATGACACAGTATGCTTGGTCTTTTAAAAATTCTTTTAAATGATTGGTGTAAAGAATGAGCACAGTTCTAGTAATAGTTAAAATCCAGTGGGATATAGGCATTGTTACTGAGATGACAAGGCATCTGTTTATGCTCATATAAAGAGCATCATGTGCCTGAAATTTTGACTGCTATTCAGGTCAAGGCTTTGAGGGATTTTGACCTTATGAAACAGTAGCGTGGCTAGAGATCAAAACATGAAAAAAAAAAAAAAGCAACTAAGAGGGCTGCTCTCTTGCATTTCAGAGTCAGCTTTGGCTTAAATAACACCTGAACACAAGCTAAAGATGCTGAAGTTGATAAGAAGGCGGCCTAAGAGAATAGAAATACTTTTTGTTTCCAAAAGTTAAGAGGAATAATAACCCTTGCTCTATGTGGTTGCTTAAAATGAGAAAAGAGAACAAATGAAATATACCGTGGATTGATTTATTTAAATCCTTAAATGACCCTATGTGTCCTCCATATTTTTGTAAATGTGCTTTCTCGTTGACATTTACTCAGCTGCCTTTTTTTCCCTAAATATCGTGCCCCTGATGAACATATTTATATTTTGATTGTAACTAGGGAATAAGATAGTCAGAAATTCATTATAGTTAATATTTTAAACTTAAATATAATTTCAATGATTTGAAATATTATTTTCCCCCATTGAACTGAAATCATAGTATACTATGGAAAGAGGATATTATTCATTTGCTTTATAATTTATTATGGTAATTAATGTTAGAGTTGGCAGCAGGTGTTTGGATGTAAGAATGAATCTTTTTAGATAAGTCCCAAAGTCTGTAGTCCTGTGATTCTTTTTTAAATAGGGAAAATTATCTTCTTTGCCAGAAGTAGGCAACATTGTATGACTCATATAAGTTCATAGATGTTATTCCCATTTCATCAATATTTTGCTATATTTCTAATGATTTTTGCGATGTTCTGAACTATAAGCACAAAAATCTTAAAAATAAAATTGATATACTCAGAATCCCTCTCCTCTTGAACATGAGCATTCATGTTTATGCTGTGTAAGACCCTTTCTGTCCTCACTCATGCCCAAATAGAGAAAGTGATTATTATGTATGAATATGTCTGTTCTACATTATTTATGTCCTGTAGAGAGTTTTCAAACTCCTGCCAGACATGTGAGTAATGTAAAACATGGTTGAAGATAATAAGCTAGTGTTTTTTATAATACCAGAAATGCAAATATATGCAAAAGCATTAAAATGAAAATTTCTGTATTTGCCTTTCTTTTCTGAGTTCATGCTCAGTTTTTAGAGATCCCTGGTTTTACTCTCTATAAAATATTTTACACGCACATTCTGACTATACCTGTCCTCAAAGCATTATTTTGCAGACCTCTTGATACATGAAATGTAGTTACACTTGGTTTGCCTCTCATCTTTTTGCCAATGATTTTAATTAAAAATACTCTAAGGCCTTTCAATTGACAACCCTTTTCAGTGGTTCCTGAAAGCTCTCCAAGTCTAATCAGTCTGCTGCCAATTAAAAAACAATTTTAATGGCTTTATAAAACCTAGAATTAAAGTAAAATTCCCTCACTTCTTTTAGGTTTTTTATCTTACTTAATTCATGGTCTAACCATCTTGAATTTTAGAGCATCTTTTGGTTAATTGCTT